GCTGTTAGGAGCTGGCGCGCGACGTAGGATTTGCCCTGGAGATATCCCGTAATTGCCCTTTACGGCCTTGGGAGGTCGCTGAGCAGACTTTATGGGGAGAAAGCGGGTTTTGCTGGTCCCCAGCAGCTGGGGCTTTAAGAGAGATTCGATGATGGGAAGCGGAACATTAAAGGGACCTGCCCGTCCTAGTCTCTGTTTCAGTGTTAAATGGGGCTAGTTGGGGCCAGCCCTGGACGGAGCAAACCAATGACCTCTTCCGACCCCTCTTCTCTAGTGCCTCTAAGTTCATTACCAGTTCTAAATCTAGATTAACTCACTACTAGACTGTTCCCCTATATTTTCACACACAAGTTGGAACAGACAGAGGCGAATCTTGCCCTCCGTTTGCCCTCAACCTCTTACTGCTATCTATGGGTATGCTCAGGCTAACAGGACTGCCTGTCGGGTAGTATTAGGATTATGTTTTAAAACATTTTTGCATATAACATTTATACTAAGAGTAAAATCCCTATTGCAAACCCCCCTTTATTTTGAGACACATAAGGTGCTTTGGGAACATTGTCTGAAAGGAGTTATAACAACTTACTGTTTGGTACTCAACAACATAATAAAGACTACCAGGATCACAAGTCACTTATATAGAAATGCAGAATATAATTGCCTGTTATATAGATCTAGAAAGGTTTTCTTTGGTGTCACCCTTTAGCTTAGCAATGTTCTGTCATCACAGATAATTGGTTAATTTCTCCCTGAGTATATTAAACTGCTTTTCCCTAGAAATTCACATCATCTTGCTCTGGTTTCATTTTTATTTTTTTGAGTTTTGAAGTCCTGATTAACCAGTCTTCAACATAGTATTTTTTCATTTCTTTTCTTTGTGATGATTAGCCCTAATAGACAATAAGGCTGTGTCTAGACTGGCAAGTTTTTCCGCAAAAGCATGTGCTTTTGCAGAAAAACTTGCCAGCTGTCTACACTGGCCGCTTGAATTTCCGCAAGAACACTGACGATCTCATGTAAGAAATCAGTGCTTCTTGCGGAACTACTATGCTGCTCCCGTTCAGGCAAAAGTCCTTTTGCGCAAAAGGGCCAGTGTAGACCGCTCAGATTTGTTTTCCGCAAAAAAGTCCCAATCGCGAAAATGGTGATTGGGGCTTTTTTGCGCAAACGGGCGTCTAGATTGGCATGGACGCTTTTCCGCAAAAAGTGCTTTTGTGGAAAAGTGTCTGTGCCAATCTAGACGCTCTTTTCCGCAAATGCTTTTAATGGAAAACTTTTCCGTTAAAAGCATTTGCGGAAAATCATGCCAGTCTAGACGTAGCCTAAATGTAGGGAAGTAATAGAAGACTCATTGCTTAGAATTTCTAAATTGGGGCATCTGAGTAAAACACAGTAGGGTACAGTCCTACATTCCTGGAGGGATGGAAATAGGTAATTTAGTCAGAATTGTGCTATCACTGTTGCTTCTCACCCTTTCCTAGATTAATCCCTATGCTCAATGAATGATCTTTGCAGAAATTGTTTAAATGAGATGGCAAGAAGACCATCTGCATCAGTAATAAAGTTGGTCAGAAAATCTCTGTAATACACATCAGACAAGACTGTCATGAATTGGTTTGATAATCAAAATAAATTTAACAGAAGCTAACATGTACGTGTAAAATTCTTATATTTTAGCATTGACTCGTTCTGCATTCATCGCAAGAAAATCTGACCATGCAAACCCAAACTGGGTAAAGGTTGGACTGACTTTTGGCACCACTGCAGCTCTGTGGATCCTAGTAAGTATAGTATAAGAATGTGAGAATACTTAACTATTCATTAGAGAAGTTTTAAAACAGTAGTTACTGTTAAGATAAGGTTGTATATGAATTCATTTTCTGTAGTAGATAAGATAATTGAAGGAAATTTCAAGCTAAAGCCCCAGGTAGTCTGTAGTATTCCTTCAAAAGCTATAGATTCATGAAGCTATTCTTCTTTTCTACCACTTACCAAACGACTAGACACTGAAAAATTAATGTTCAATAGGTCTACCAACTTCTCTCCCAAACAAGGAGTGGGCATGTATGTGTTTTTGTGTGTAGAGGTGCTTAATAGTAATTTCTTTTCTGCTCTAAGAAAAACTGGACATGCTGTAGGGAGAAACCATAATAAAACCATATGTTTTTCTTTTTGACTCTTATTAGGACAATCATAAGTTTATGACTCGACAGACACTCATATTTTTTGATAGTTTACCAGATAAAGCGTTAAACTATCAGGGCACCATTCTTAAATAAATGTGCAAATTCTTAAATAAAATGTCTGTCTGAGACACATCAGGGTCCAGGATAAACGACTGTGGATGGAGGGAGCATGTAGTGATTGTAAAATGAACATGTTATGCAAAATAAGCAGCAGTCAGAGGAACATATTACTGTTTCAACATATCTGATATCCAGTGCCCTGTCTCCTGTGAGTGGCCAGCAAAAGATGCTGCTGTGGAAGTTGTAAGAAACCTCCCCATGGGTCATAGTGGGATAATTTTTTCTCTTAGAGAATCTCCTCCTAACTCTAATTGTCAAACATTGGCTTGCATTCTGAATCAGATTTTAATATTCTAAAACTTACTTGTATTTGTTACAAAAATGCTTGTTCCAGTTTGCTTTTTCCCTGAATGTCTTTTTTTTTTAAAATCATACTGTCATCTTCTAGCTCTTCAAGCAACATAATGATGATGTAATAGAATATGAAAGGAGAAGAGGAGAGAGAGAGAAACATGATGCATGCACAGGATGTTCATAGTAAGTGTACGTAATACATACTGGAAGTATGTAGACTGATTTATGTTTTTAGAAAAACCTGTCTCTTGCAAGGTGACCTGTCTTAAACAATGGATGTTGGCTGTTCCTCTTCTTTCTTTGTTTCCTACCCCCGTTCCCTATTCCCGCTTTACTTAGCTCAGCCCCTCATTACAAATTTTAAAAAAAAAAATCCAGCTCAAATAGTAACTAAGATAACTGTGCCACTTCATTGCTATATTCATTTAAATGTATGTTTTATCACCATTTCCAAGCCTTTGTTTGGCTTTTGGACTGTAAGGCTGCAAAGGCCTGAATTCTCTTTTTGCATGTATGTGTCTTGACATTTGTACTGAGGCAGTTCCATAATATATGTGTTTTAATAAGACATCTCAATAAATTGTTCAGCTTATTGTATGATCAGGCCCATAATGGAAATCAGTATTTTCCCAATTTCACATATCAGAGAATATTCCTGTGTCTTTTATTTATATAACCTGTTTATATAGAGGAAATTATAAATCAATGTATATGAATTGGGCCACACTTTTATTTTTGAAAAAATGAAAATATCCCGCCTAAACCAAATCATAAATGGGTATTTCTCTCTCATTTGTGTTTAAATAACATTTATTTGCTATTACAAACAAATACAGTTATGGGTTCAGAGGCAATTACTATGCAGCTTTAAAAGAACATTGTACATTGGCAAACCCCTAAAGCTGATCATTTTCTATTCAATATTCGGTAAAACCTTTACTGTGCAGCTAAAAATGGAACAAACACAGAAAATATTAATTACATCACACATTTAATTTTCCACGTCAACCTTATGAGTTTGTTGTTTTTTTCCTAGATTGAAGATATTATCTAAGAAGTGACTGAGTGATAGTTATAATCCACAAGGAAATGATCAACAGGGTATCAGAAAATATCTGGATATTTATCTGTTCCCAATGTTTTGTATAGTGTGCTGTGAAATAAACAGTAATGAATATGTAAGGAGATGGTTGAATCTGTTTTCTTGCTGCACATCTTTTATTCTGAAGACAAACAGAAAAAGTGTGTTCAATTGATATTTCACCTTAGCATAAACTCAGTGTTACATGTTTTGTGAAAGAAAAGTACTAACAAAGTTGCAATCTGTATATAAATGCTAAAATGTGTATTTCTGGACAAATGTGTATTTGTGAACATTATAAGAAGAAATTATTTTCAAAGTACTAGTCTTGTTTGAAATGCCACTTGGCCTTGGAAGAGTTGCTTCAGGAGTTACTGCAACTCATGTTTACACATCTGCATGCAAACTTGAAGTCGTTCCTAGAATATATCTCCAATCCTGTCTGCAAGATGCACTCTGGGTTCATTTGCCCTATAACAAAAATGTGGAGCTTCATTTAGCTAGGACAGATGAAAAGGCAGCTCTGCGGGAGCTGGCACACATGGGGAGCTGGCTTCCCCCCCCTTGGGGAGCCAGCTCCCCCCATCCCACAGCTCCTGTGGAGCCGCTTCCCCCATCCCGCTGCTGCCTCTGAGAGAGGCAGGAAGTTATCTGTCAAACTGGCTCCCTGCGTGTACTCACTCCTGTGGGAGAAAAATCAAATAACTCCAATTGTGTCTAAAGGGAGGACTGTGCAGGAAATCAAAACTCTCTAAAAGAAAACTGCTGTAAGGGTTAAAAAGTTTTCCAGACCTCTCTCCCTGTAACAGAGAGAAATCAAATTAACTCTAATCAAGACCCTTACAATGCCTCCTATCTCAAGTTCATGGATACTCCTAGTCTGTCACAATTTGTCATGTAAACCCTTATCTTTGTCACAGTTTGCCTTGTAGACTCCTCCACTCAAGTTCTCATGTGGCTTTGTGTACTGTAAAAACTTACTTCTAGCACTCCTGGGGTGAACAGAAGTCTCAAAGTACTTCTGCTGAGACTTTGATATGTTAAAGAATAACAATCCACAACTGAACTGTCTAAGCATACTGTATAAAGATTCCCTGAATCTGTGTGTCAGGGCTGCTTCACTCTTGGAAGTGACAGCCTGCATGCATGCATCATAAAGTTTTCTCTTCTAGGTTTCTCTCCTGCCTCACTGATTTGACCTCCGGCCTCGGACCCTTCTGGGGGCTCTGTACCCCA